ACTTCAGCAAGGAGATAATTCTATTTCATATTGAACATCTTTTCTTTACAGTAATTTTCAGAATATTTTAACTATAGTATTTTATGTTCTTTTGATTCTGTAACATACCCTTCTAATAATTTGCCCTCTGTTTTGTTTTGGTTTTGTTTGTTTTTTCAAAGCAGCTTCCCCAATTTACAGTATCTGAGTTTAGCTCACTGCAGAAAATTCACAGACAAAGGTTTACTGTACCTGGGCTCTGGAAAAGGCTGTCACAAGCTCATCTATTTGGACCTCTCAGGTTGCATCCAGGTTTGTAGTTCACGTCTTTCTTTCATTCTGTGAAGAAGAGAATCCTTTATATGACTGGCTGCATCCTGTGTTCATGGTATACTGAAGTAGAACAAGCACTGCAGCAGACTTCCAGGGTTTTGAATTACATGACTACAGCTGTTTAAATTTTGCTAAGGAATAATAGCACTATAGGTTTGGATCACTTCCAACAAACTGTCAGATCTATAAACAGCAAGTACTTACTGCATAATGAGAACAAGGCTTGTATTTTGTAGACTAATTCTATGTCATGCTTAGTTAGGATTTTAAATCAAGACTTTTGAAAATGCAGTTTTAATAAGATAACAAAAAAAACCACCTACGCTAGAAAAATACAAATTTACACATGATTTCCTGAGAAGGAAATTAATTAAAAAGTAAACTTTTGTTACTATTTTATGTTGGTTTGATATATAAACTGCAGTAGTATTTATAACTGAAATTTAAAATAGTTAATGTTTGGATTATTTTAGGCTCCTATTCAACTTCTGAAGAAAACCAAGGTTTTAGAATCTGGTACTATTTTAGAAACTTTCAAATATGTACTGTGTCTTGAAACATACGTAGAAAGCAATACGAAATGCCAAACTGTAAGGCAATAAAAGTCTGGCAATGTTTTAATAAAGACTCCCATGTATATTTCTTTAAAAGAAAACACTGAGAAGGTTCTCCAGATTACAGAATAATGTGAAGTGTTAAAGAGATGGAGTCTGAGGAATATAACGGTTTAACTTCCCATCTAACAAAACCTTTTTAGAAGCAGGGATGAAGGCAGATGAAGCAGTTGTGTTCTGACTGCTCCTTACTGGGAGTGTCTGGTCCTTGCTCCCGAGAATCACGCTGAGACTATTGTGTGGTGACAGTGTGACATTGGAAAAGAGGGCTGGGGTTAGAGGAGAGTTAAGAACTGCCTACCTCTGAGTTACATTTTCAAAATGTCAGTAATTGGTTCTTTTTTTCCAAAAGCAACATTCCTGATTGTTCTCAAGTGTAATCATGAGCTGTAAGGATCTGCCTCGAGAAAGCATGATCTAATAGTAGTCAGCAAAAAGTGGTCATCACTGAACTGGGAAAACCACAGTCCTCCCCTTTCCAGAGGAAATTGGGTTTGCTCACCAGTGTGTTTGGAGCTCTGAAAGGGATTCCACAGCTTCCTCCATTTTGGGTTTCCCGGTGATTCTGGATTAGTGCTTAATGTTGATGACTGAGTACTTAAGTAAACAGTTAAAACCAAAAAGAGCATCAAATTACATCACTGTTGCAGAAAGCATTTTAATAAGAAAGAATTCTCTTTTTTCTTCCCTTCATTGGATGAACTAAACCCAAGGGAACTTCTATAAGGTTTCAGAATTAGTTAGAAAAATGTAGTGAAGCTATAGTATAAACATTAAAATTATGCTAAAACGTGTTCTATAAAACAGAATGTATATTTTATAGAATATATCTTTTTCCTGTTTTTTTCTGTTTCCTGTTTTTTCCTCCAATTTAACATTACAGTTCTTTTTATATGAGTTCTTCTATTACCATTACTACTGTAGGATTTGAAAGTCTATTTAGAAAGCCCATCAGTGAAATGGAGAATTATGCTATTGATTTTGTGAGTGCCAACTTGAGGACCAGGGTTTTCAAATAGCTTGTTAAAACATAGTTGACAGAAATCTGGGAATTAAGCATACATTTTCTAGTCTGTTCTCATAAAACAAAGCAGTCTTTCCTTTTACTATTAAATTAATACACAGTAATGATACTGGGTGAATTGTAGGTATGGGTCTTTTGCATAAAATCTCAGTAATTAAGGTTGTATTTTTATGAAACAGGTGCTAAATAGTTTCATTAATGAGTTTCAAGATATCTTCATAAAAATATAGAGATTCTCTTGTGTTCTTCTCAAAAGGTGTCCTATTACACCATTGATATTCTCAGAATTGCCTAGAAAGCGTAAGATTTCTTTGTCCTGCTTCTGATGCTGAATAGTATAGGTGGTAAACTTTCTGCTATTACACACAAAACTGAAAAAACAGAAGAGTATGAAGCAATTGCATGTCATTTACCGACAGATTGAGATTATGCAACTAGAACAGTTTGATGAGAGATATCTTCAATTAAGTTAGAAACATGGAAATTTTCAAATAAATTGACTTTTTTGCCTTGGTGCCAACATCTATGGATGATTTTCAGACTAGAACTCTTCTGCCCCAAAATAGGGGCACACTGTTAGAGTGGCCTATCAATTACTGTGGTTTACAACAGCTGGATAATAGATCACAAGCCACTGGGAAAAATAAATTTGACCCTTTCATTGCTTGATATCTTGCAGCGTTTATGGTGATGTCAGAGAAGGTATTGGCAAACATATAGGCTTCACCTGTTTTCACCATCTGAATTCCTCCTGCTCTGGCTTCTTTGGGAGAATTCTTATTTTGGCAGCTGTCACATTCTGACTGCTTCAGATGTATCAAGTAGTTAAAAGGGGCCATCACTTGGGGAGAAGATCTAAGCCGTGTTCTTTATTTATTGAAGAAGAGGACTCATTGTTTACATTGCCTGAGTTCAAACTCATGTAACTGAAGAATAGTTTATTATAAGTTACACATGTGCTATTCTGGTTTTTTTTTAGAAATATGCTAATTCAGGAGTATATTAATATAAGGTTTTTTTGGACACTGGAAGATTAGAAGAAAAATAACATGTGGAGGCAAGCCATCATGTAATGTGCCAAACATCTGAAAGGAGATCACAATTCATTTTATCATTCTTGTCAAACACAGAATTTAAAAAAAAAATAGTCCCTCGTGCAGCACAGGAGTACTTCCTCCATCCTGGACACTGATTTTCAAGTTCCTGCACTCACGGTGCATTGGCAATACCAGAGTCATAGAACAGCGTTTCTTCAGAATCCCCTCTGTGCTGCAGACAGCGCTCTGCCTTGCAGGGTGGATTCCACAAATACAATCGACCAGGGAGAGAAAGAAGGAATTTTAAGGCAGTACTGTATGTGTAGCAAATAAGCCAAAACCTGGATAAAAATTCAGTGTGTTCCTATTCTTTGGAATTAAGAAACTGTAAAAAGATGAAATTAAATTAATTTTGACATTCTTACAAGCATTTAATCTTTTCACTACATTTATTTTCCAAATCTATGGAGACAACTCTTCAGCTGTGATTTCCTCTCTGGCTGCCCAGAGAGGTTGTGGAGTCTCCTTCTCTGGAGACATTCAAGACCCGCCTGGATGTGTTCCTGTGTGACCTGGTCTGGGTGATCCTGCTCTGGCAGGGGGGTTGGACTGGATGATCTTCAGAGGTCCCTTCCAAGTCCTAACATTCTGTGATTCTGTGATTCCTCCATGTTGGTTTGATGTACTTTCATTTCAGATCACAGAATACTAGCATACAGTTAAGAAGAAAACCCAAATCAGTCATTTACATATTAGACTGAAAACTTCTCACAGACAAGGAATTATATTTTATATTCAATAATTGCATTGACTTTTGATCCTTTACATGCAAGAAAAATAATACATTAATAAAATGATCTTACTGAGTCATGCAGGAGAAGTCTGTTTTGCAGAATTTTATAGGATCAAAGACTCATAATAAGCTTCAAAGCATCCTCCCTCACAATTGGTTTGAAGAAGGAGGTTTAAGTGGGATTTTACTGATCTGGAGCAAAGAATGCAGCATTAAACTCCATATGTATCCTAACATGGTTTCTCAGGTCAAGCTGTTCACTCTTGAGGCAATCTATTAGACATTGAAATTCCAAGTGAGTTCAGAAAGCAATTGATTTCCTAAAATTTGCACAAAATGTGCAAACCTTATCTACACCTTATCTTCAAGAGCACCTGACATTTCATAGATAATCCATAGGGGCTGTAGAAAAGAAATTCAAGATGAAGATTTTATTGTTCTAGGAATAAAGGAAAATAAGACCAGTAATTATGGTATGGCAGCAGCATCTAAATGTTGACTAATTCTGAATGTGTTTCACACTGGAACTTTCTCAACCTGATGCCCAGGATCCATTATCCAGCTTTAGGTTAAAAAACAGTTGAAGAGAAAAAAAATCTGAAACAATCTGTGCAGGGGTATTATTAGCTACTTCAGTATAATTGCTTTTGGCCTGCATGGAGGAAAACACTGGATCGCTGCTATTTGTGGTATCAAATGGCTGTGTTAAGCAAACAGTGTTTTTCCAGACAAAGAGATTAAAAGTCCTTTAGACTGCAGTTAACATTATGCAATCATTACTGAAGTCCAGAAACAGATATGCTACTTCTGTGCCTCAGCATTGGTGAGTTTGATCTGATTAACTTCTACCTACTATCTGTACTTTTGAGAATGAGAATTTTGCTTTATTTTAGGCATCTAACTTAAAGTAGTGCCTAGAAAATTACCTTAGTTTATCTGTACAACAATTAGAGAGGGAGAGAGGTCTCCAGAGGTGATTCAGACTTTTTCAGGTCTGATCTGTCTTGAGATCTTTCTTGCTGTTTGCTATACAGACATCCCAGGTTTCATAACTGTCTAACATAGACACCTCAGTTATATTCCTAATTTCAGTGGAGTAAACAAAGGCTTTAGCATTTGCAGCCCATTTTTAAAATCACCATCAGTATTATTGGCACTTTCTTGGCTTAGCATTTTTCCTACCTGTTTCCCTGGTTTGTAAGTCCTCTCAACTGTGATTCCTCTTCTACAATTATCAGAACAACCTGGAAGCCTCACAAATATTTATCTTACTGCTCAGTGAAATGGCTTCCGAGTACAATGTGTTCATGGTAAGAAAAAATCCCAAGAACAACTGGCAGCAGGCTCCATTAAGCCCCATATCTTTCTTTGAGTAGCAGTCACAGGAGTCAGTAGTAGTTGGTGACATGCATTTGAACTGTATCTTACAAAACCTCTTCAGTATGAACAACAAGGACAGCTGAACGTGGCATGTTCTGCACTATCTCAGCTCTTGAGTGACTGTTCCTTGAGAGCAGAGTTATTCCTTCACATTATAGAAAATCTGTTCAGCAATTACAAGGGGAAATCCTACTGTCATAACAGCTAAAGCATATTCAAACTGCTTAACAAACTGTAGCTGTTTTTTCAGAAGAGTGAAAACCTCAGTCTTCTTTTGAAAGGCGTCGTGTTTAGTTTATAACAGACAGTGTTATTACCATGTACTGCAACAAACTGCATGATGTGACATACCCTCTCGTCTCTTGAGAATGGTTTGCTCTTTGTAGTATATGGACCAAGAACATGACTCAATTACCAGAAATCCACCTCTCAAGTAGAAATTTCAAGAGGGTGATTTATTTCACTTTAACATATTAAACTACTTGGTGCATGTTGTAGAAATTTGCTGTCTTCTGCTGTTGCACTGCTTGAGAGCCAACAGGGAGGAGGCTGTTGCAGGGTTAGGTAAGAAAGAAACTACTGCATATGCCCAAGAGTGAACTGACACCCATTGAATTTGGGCAGTTGAAAAATTGGCTCCCTGGAGTGATAAAGGGAATGAACTGAATTGACAGATCCATCTGTCCATTCATGCTTTCACTGAATATTGCTCTGTTAGGGTGTGCAGAGTTGGTGATGTGGTTCTACCTGAAGGATTCTGTGAATGAACTCCATTTTATTGTGATTGCGTAGGATCTTTCTTTGTATCCTATCTGAATTTAACACATATTTTACTGTGGATCTGGAAAAAACAATGAAGATACTTTACCACATTCACACCTTGTTTCAAACTAGATGTGAACATCTGCCATCTGTGAATACCTTGGGGTTGGAAAAACAAGAGTGTGACAGGGACATTCATTGCTACTCCTGTAAATGGTGTTGACTGTAGAAATTGTTCTACCCTACCCTTACTTGCTTAGTAGACACATTTTTGGAACAGATCCTGGATTTGGATTATGTTGTTAAAACTTCAGAATAATATGTATACCTTATGGGTTTGTTTTTCTTTTAATGGGATTAATGCATTTCTTGGTTTAGTAAGCATTTAGGTACATCTGATTTTAAAGTATTGAATATATCTCAAGCCTTTCCTGTATTGATTTTGTTAGGCTTGCTAAGACATAACTATTTTATTTCTTACTTAGATTTCAGTTGAAGGCTTCAGAAATATTGCCAATGGCTGCAGTAGGATACAAGATTTGCTAATCAACAAAATGCCAACTCTTACAGACAGATGTATTCAAGTAAGAAATCAAAAATAAGTCTGTACTTTGAGAAATTTTCTAATGTTAAAGCTGAGTTATCCTCTCAACTGACTTTAAAGAAAGTTATGCAGATAAAATTTAACAAGAGAATTTATCCCCAAAAACGTTTTTAAAATCTGTTATCTAATTATGTTTATAAATCTTGGTCACTTTCAGAAAACTTTCTGTTTTCTGTTGTCTTGTCTTCTTTTGCTACATTGGTATGACTGAATTATTGTCTTCCAGTTGATAAATGAGACTTTTCCAGTTTTTTCAGTGTTAAAGCAAAGATATGGGAACAGCATTCTGCTACTGATTTTGCCCATCAGAAAGAATTTGCAGGCTTCTGCAAAAGTGATTGTTAACTAGATCACTGTCTCGGGTGTCTGCCATACTTCATGTCTCCAGTTACTTCTTTTCCTTCTGTTCCCAAATGTAATAATTACATGGAGAATTTCAGTAGTTCATATACTACTCATTGTCTAGAAGTTACTGTTAAAATGGATTACAACTGTTTGTTTGAAATTGTAACTTTTGGTATTATATGCAGAACATTTGCTGATTGATTGTTGCATGACAGCATAGGTATATGAGTATTTTATCTCACCTTTTTCCCTTCGAAGGCTCTGGTTGAAAAATGCCAACAGATAGTGTCAGTTGTCTTTCTTGACTCTCCGCATCTTTCTGATACAACCTTTAAAGCCCTTGCTGGATGTAAACTTGCCAAGGTCAGCATTGAAGGTTAGTATAGTAATTCACAAAATTAATAGAGTTATGTATTTTTAAAATTCATCCAGATAATCTGAAGTATTTTGATCAGCTCCTTAATGTTTGTCAGATGTATGACTTAAATCTTTATATATTCCAACAGGGAATAACCAGATTACTGATTTAAGTTTTGAGTTGATGAGTAAATGCTGCCCATATATCAGACACATTCATCTGGCAGATTGCCGGAAGATTACAGATGCTGGTCTTAAGATGATTTCACCATTGGAGCATATTCTTGTACTGAATGTAGCAGACTGCATAAGGTACTGTATCACAACCAGATTTCTGTAAGTCATTGCAAAGGAATTTTAGTAAAGTTAATTATACTCATAATAGATCCTGTTAAGACATCCATCACTTCTAAAAATAAATTATTGAAATGTTAATACATGTATCTTAGTATTTAAAAAAATACTTTATACAAGTAGTTTTTTGTTCCTGCATCATATTTTCCAAAATCCATTTGTTAATGCTCCAGTTCAAGAAAAAAAAAATAACTGTAGCTGTAATATTACTTAATAGCCATGACATATTGTAGTACTGGAATGTGGCTACAAAGAAGATGAAAATGATAACCAAAGATAATTCCAGTGCCACAGCTATTAAAACTTGGATACTGTTTAATTCTGTGAATGTTAAAGTAAAACTTTATAACTATCTAGTACTAATATAGAAGCAAAACTGCCATTATTTTACAATTACCAAGACAACATAGTAATTTATGCTGTAGCGGAAGGATATATTTAATGCGAAGACTTTCCACTCAGGTGTGGAAAGAAGTTTTCCACTTCAGGTGTGTCTTTAATTTGCTTCAGTTGTGTCATTCTGCTTTAATATGTAACTAAAGTACTTTTTGTGCCTGTAGATACTGTATAAAAAGCTGATAACATTGCATGTAGATGCTGAGAAGTGCTGGAACATGACATCATGATGGTAGCTCAGCTGGGCAAGTGGGACAGCCACCTGCATTTTTCTGGTTTAACATTAGAGGACTGGATTTTCCAGTCTGTTAGCCAGATCTTGGACTGTGAGTGTGTTTGCACACGTGTCTACTGTCTCTACTGCTAAAGAATTGCTGAATTACCTTAACAAAACTTTCTAAGCAGTTGTAAAACTATTGTAAATCTTTGTACTTACTTTATTGCTTTTGCAGATACTTGTAAAAGTTTCAGCATTAGCAAAGTTATGGATTGAAACACATCTGAACTTGGTAAAGAATTCCTCTCAAGAGATGAAACCACAGAAAGAACTGTTAGTATTTATGTTTCTCTTATTTGGACAGTGTCTTGCTAAAAATGTTCAGATTGTGTGTTAGAAACATTTAAGAATTTCTCATAGAAATCAAGGGAAGCCCCATATTCATGGCAGAATGTCTGGTTTTGTGTCTTCTGGAATGCGGTCATACCTAAGTGTTGGAACCAATGTAATTTCTCATAATCTCCTACAGACTTTTTTTCAGAAAGTTTTGGTTTTCAGCAGTTCCAAAGAGTGGCATGTTTCTAATTGAGCCATTAATTATTCTAATTGCTTTTTGGGTTTAAAAGGCTATTTAAAAAATCCCGTTATTGATATCTGCTTATTTACAATGTGGGCTGATGAATGCAAATTGTATATTGATTTGTATGGAGCAGGAAAAATACATATTATAAATATTTCCTACATTTCTCTTTTAGAATCAGTGATGAGGGTGTGAGGCCATTTGTACAAGGTTCTTCAGGAGCTAAGCTAAGAGAGCTGAATTTGACTAATTGTATTGGTCTCACTGATGCTTCTGTCACAGAAATAGCACAAAGGTACCATAGTCCAGTACAATATTTATCTAGTGTGGTTAGATTTCAGTATATTTCTAATATTCAAGTTCTTAATATGTTAACGAATGGGTAAAATTACACAACCAACTGTAAAGAGAAAATTGTACTAGATAAATGACTAGTCCCTTTTGGTGTTGTGTATCTCTTAAAAAAATGATCCCTTATATAAAGGGAAACTCATCAATATAAATATGGAAACCTGAGAAGTCTTAATTTTAGGGGGAAAAAGTGCTTAAAAGATGTTGTCAGTGACAAAACTGCATTAAAAGATTAGTGCGTGTAAGTCACATTTTTCTAAACTCAGTGAATACACATCTGCAAAAACAAAAACCACGTTATTGCTAAACCCCTTCAATTCCAGTTCCTCAGAAGGAGTATCGGTATTGGCAATTGAAAGATGACTTTTAATTCTCCAGAGAAGATTGGAATCAGTCTTTCCACTCCTTACCAGATCTCTCGGCAGGCCCCTGTTTATGCTTTGTAGCAGGAGTAGTGAATAATTGTAGCATCTTTGCTGGAAAGCTAGGGACTGCCTTCTCTTTTTTTTACTGATGGAGAGTTACCCCTAAGGCTCTGAGCATAGATGCACTGTTTGAGGAATCACATTTCTTAGGTATTCTGTTTTGGTTATGGGAAGATACAGTTTACTGTGCCTACTTATGCAGTAAAATTCTGTTTTCCATGTATGGTGCCGATTTGCAGAACTTGGCAGTGTCTTTGTTTGCTGTGCACCGTTATTTGCAGAGCTGTAGTGAGGTGTGGGAACAGCTGTGGGGTCCTGAATTCTGTCGTTCCAGCGAGCTTTGAAGTTCCTGTGCAAGATTTGAAGATGGGGGGAAATCAAGCATCAAACTAACCAAAAAAATATTTTTATGTAATAGAGTTCCTTGGTTTCCATGTTTTCATTTAATTTAAACTTAGCAAGGGTTATGACAAAAATGTACTTGCTCCATTTCTGTAGCATAAGTGGAAAGCTGACATTTCTGTTTTTTAAATTTAATTTAGATGTCATGAATTGACCTATCTAAGTCTGCGTTACTGTGAAAATGTGACTGACACTGGAATTGAAGCCTTGGGAAATATGTCGTCATTGATATCCATTGATATCTCTGGAACCGGCGTCTCAGATATGGTAGATATATGGTTAAAGAGTGAAGAATGTGTTTCCTATTTATCTGGGCTTTTTGAAAAAAATGCAGTAAAACCCCATTCATTTAAAAACCTGCAGAGATACGAAGCAGTGGAGTTGTGTTGCTAAAAGGTATTTTAGAAATGCATACAGTACAGTATGTACAGTACTGCCATGTATTAGCAGTAACCAACAAAAGGTAATTCTTAAGTTGGTACTTCTTACATTTGAAAGAGAGAAACAGAAGCTGTCAGACAGAGGAAGTAAAGTTGATCTGAAACAATATTTATTAAGCAGGATTATTTTGCTCCAGGATGCTTAGGCCTGAGGAAAACTGAAAAATCGGTATTTTTAGCTTTTAAGTTTGTAAAAATTGAGTTTTCCACGAACTAGATTTTATGGTGAAAAATCTTGAGTGTTAATTCTAGCAGAGACACTGCTCTACTCTGTGATCTAGAAAATAATTGCTAGTGCAAGAATTACTAACAAGGTATCTTCAATGTGTCAAGTTGCTAAGACTCTGGAAAGCAAAATAGTGAGTGTGGGAGCCAGGTTAAACATTGCAGGCCTCCACATTAGGTGTTCTTGGCAGGTGCTGCCTTGTGTGCAGGGCTCAGAGCCAGGTCTGCTGTTCCTTTTACTTTTGGCGCAAACTCTTTTCACTGAACACAGAAGTCTAGGAGACTTTCTTGAAGAAACCTTGCCATAGAGACTATTCACTCAGTCACTGTTGGAACAGAATTCTGACCAAGAACTTTCATTCTTAGCTCTAAGACAGAATTTGTGCAAAAGTAATTAAAATGCCTGTATCTTTTATGGAGGCCTGAAAATAAAATTTAAAGAAAATCATCAAAATTAAGCCAAATAAAGAAGGTTGGGAAATGCAGGAGGACTTCATTTAAAGTGATCATTTAAAATATCATAAAATCATATCTGAATGAAATTTTTAATGATTTGAATTACAGTCCCACAGTGTTTCAACATAAATATTTTCTTCTGTGTCTGCCACAGCCGGTCTTTTAAAATACTGTGTTGCTTCTTACTCTAGTTTTCGCATAGCACAACCCATGACCTCGGCAATAAGCCAAGCTCTTTTGCTTACGCTGATTTTCTAAGGCTTTCAATTGCCTCCCTCCCACAAGACAGATAAATTAACTCAGAAATTGGCCATTTATAATTTCTGTAATTTCTGATCTGATTGCTAGTGCTAGCTACAAAACTGTTACAGTTTTGTACTGTTTGCTGTGTTTAAGTAGATAGCATTCACCCATGTTAATAAATACTAAAAACGTTATTTGATAAAAGGAAATCTAGCAGTCTGTTTTGTAATCAGCTACTATTTGTATGCTTTGACATTATAGTATGCATTTTATTAGCATATAGATGAAGTTGTATTAAGATGTCTGTCAATTTTGACTTTGTAAGTATTACTTTAAAAATGTAGCAGAGAGTACAATGTTTTATGTGCAGTAACCAACACCATTACACTGTGTTGCTGAAAAAAATTTGTGAGGCTTCTATGTAATCTGTGCAGTAGATCTCTTGCTTTTGCTGTCTTGCTATTTAGTGTGAAAAATAGAGAATGCACAACACTGATTTGCACTGCACAAGAGAATTTTCCTTTCTGATTTTTTCAGATGACAGCAGAATCATTCTGACCATTAGAGCAGAGCAGAATCTACTGCGATATTGATGGCATATACTTAAGGGAAGGACAGGGGAAAAAAGATATAGTAAAGTCAGATTTTCTTACAGATTTGTGTCTGTATGATTGACTTAATAAAAATGGAAGATTTTTTCCAGTGTTGGTGCCTTCTTCTTCTGTAGTTCCTTTGGTGCTCAGTAAGTGAATGTTCCTGTTGCAGTCTGGTTTTCAATCAGGAAATTTGTTGCACTTAGAAGAAATACATTGACTCAGAATTGTCCTTGACAAATTACCTTGTTAATTAAAATAAAATAGAATTACAGTACCCTGTAGACTCACAGTAATTAAAAGATGTAGTGATAATAAAAATACATTAGAAGTGTCTCTTATGTTTAGAGAAGTTTATGTTAAGTCATATTTAAGTTGTATGTGTTCTTAAGTGTCTTGCTAAACAAGTCAAAGACCAACAAAACCAATTATCATCCATTGAAGAGGATGTCAGCTTTATGGATGTGAGAAACTGCTGGCAAACTGCAGAAGTCACTGTACTTTTCTCATTAGGGCTTTGACTATGTCATTCTACTCTCATGAAACATATAACATTAAATAAAAAGCCCTACAGTTACATTTGAAATACTAATTTATTCACTCAGTTATTTTAGCATTCATCCTTTAACATTTCAGAAAATATTTCCTTCTTTATGCAAAACTGATGTTTTAAAAATAAACAACACACATTTTTAAGTTTCAATAACTGTTTTTAAATAGTGGAATGGACATTTGTTCTGGTTTTGTCATTTCTGAAGTACTTGAAATTGGTTTCTTACAGTTATAAACAACTTAAAAAAGACTTAGAAATTAAAATATTTGCAACTTATTTGCAGCTTTCTTTAAAAAAAACCAACGCAGCGAAAGAGCAAAGATGTTGTGTTCTTTGAAGAAACTACCTTGAAATTCTTTGAGAAAACTCCCTTTTTTCCCTAGCTAGCCTGCATCCTCCATTGCTTTCCCTCACGTTTTGCTGTTCTAAACTCCCTGGAATAGGAACCATAGTGTTTTAAAGTGTGAGTGTAGTGAATATGTTCATGAATGCATAGATAATATCACAAGTCATTTTAGATACAATTGTCAAGGTATTTACAATTTATGCAAGGTGTTTAAGCTTCTCTTGTGGAGCTGGAAACATTAGCATTTAGGGCCAAAACCTATTTGTCTTTCTTAAAAAAGCACACTCAGTGAAAATGTTTCCATGAGTTAGAGAAGCAGTTTTAGTTACAAGCTTTATTCTCATACTCTTCGTATTTTTGTTAAAATGTCTTGAACCTTTTCTGATGTCTATATGATGCAGCTTTGGCAGCTTTGCTCCAAGTCTGAAAGCGTGCAGCTGTCTAGCTTTCCTTGTTGCGCCACAAGCTGCTGATGCCTGAGGCCTGGACCACCCGTCTTCTTGGGACATAAAGAAGAAAAACGAAGTATAGAAGTGTCAGGACATTTGAAGAAAGTGTCTTTAAGTCAAGCAGGATTTAGATAGAGAAAGCATAACAAAGAATAATAAAAGGAATTGCTAAGGAAACTTAGTTGACTCCTGAGTTATATAGAGCATCCAGCAATAAAAACAGTAGATGCCCTGAGAGATTCAGGAAAGCTTAATATCAGGGGTGAATTATATGCAGTGTTATGAGAGAGAAAAAAATAGCCATAAAACATAAAAAAATAAGTAAAATACTTTAAAAGGGGGAGAACTCTGATACACTTGTGAAATCAAAGATAAAAAGGAAAAATGAAGTATACAGATAAATATTCTTTGCTACTGCATTTTCTTCTGCCATGACTGTCATGCATTAAATTCTCTCTTGCTACAATCTGAGGCCCCATTCCATCTTCTGGCTGAAATGCCTCCTCAGGAATTCTCTGTAGCCAGCTAATCAGTCACAGAGTTTTTGTGTGCTATGTGTAGTTACTCCTTAAAGTTGAGGACAATTTGTAATCATTGGAAATGCCGGAGTAGTGCCTATAGGGATGTATAAACAGCTCAACTTTTTTTTCATTATGTGTTTGTACTTAATGCAGATTTTGGCTGGTCCTGAAGGCCAGGCTGCAAAATAAATATTTACTAATATTTTAATAATAAGTTTCTAAATAGGTGGAAAACCCCCAAAAATGGCATTTTGGCTTTCCACAGTTATCTATCAAAAGTAATTTCTTTCCACTCCTAGTAGGATTCTGAATCTATGGTGACTTGAATCCATAGCCCAGCTCCACAATTTGGTCTGTTAGAAAACTTGGCCAGTCACACTGAGAAACAGCCTTTTGCAAGTTAAAAAATATTATCAGTTCTAATAGATATATGCAGCAACAGACTGCAAATGAATTAGTTGCTTTTGATTACCAAAGGAAAGGATGTAACAAATCACACGCATTCCCAAGACAGGGAAAAGGAAATGTTAAAAAATATTACAATGCACTCAAATTCAGATGTTAGCACTCTAGTTTGCTTGGGAGAATAAAGACAGACTTTGACCTGAAGACTTAGCAACTTAATTCTGCATAGAAATAGGAAATAATAACACAGAGAGTCATTGCAATCGATGCCAGATGTGCTAACACCTTGAGTCCCAGTGCAAATTGGTAGGAATGAATGGTACCTAGCAGTGTTGAAAATTTTGTTACAGTGGAAGAAGCCCTGTTGTGTGCACTTAGTGTCATGGAATGGTGGCAAGTGTATTTCGTAAGTTATAATCTGGTCTAACTGCAGACAGGGTTAGGTACAGAAATTAAATTTTATGGTATTGATTATACCCAAAGTCATTCACGGGGATTTCTGCACTGCGATAGAAAAATGTCTTTACAGTTCCTGTAAACAGGTCTGACCCACCTCTATATCAGCTCAGGTATTGCAAACAGTGTAGCTACATTTGATTAAGAACTTACCAATTTTCCAGAAGTTTTTGCTATCTGAAACTGAATTTTGTTCAGCCAGACATTTACTGTTATTAGCAAAATGATAATGCGTGATAGGAGTTAAACTCTTCTCTTCTAGTAAGTGTTTGATCTGTGAAACTGGTGCCTGACTGCGGCTAATCTATGTGGAAATCTGAGCATTTTAGAGGATAAACTGAGTAATTTAATATTAAATTGATCAGAAATGAAAGATGGGAGATACCTCTAAAGAGCTGCCTTCCAAGACTGGAGTCGCTTTGAGGTCAGTCTGTTTGGTTTGGGGTATGAACAGGAAGTAACATCTGTATATCTCTGGAACATAAAGATACATTACAGATGCTGACCTTTAAGGTTAGAAAGAGATATGTGAACAGAAATTTTGGAAAAAGTTGAAAATAACACATGGTTATTATTAGTGAGAGACAGTATATTCATTGCAGTCTGCAGCTGAAAGGCAGAGACTTGCAGCTTGTGAATATAGAGTTGTTCTTTGATATGCCATAGCCACATATGACTTCTGTCTCCTGCAAGAGAAGACCATCACCAGCTGGTACAGTAGATACTCATTTTCTCATCTAGAAGAACCTTGGTGAAACAATAATTTTGATGTTCTGCAAGTGTTTGTAGGCCTCATGTAATAAAAAAATAACACAGAAACAGAATCAAAAATTTTAAAATTGCTTGAAAAAAATAGCTCTTGGATAAGAATAAATTTCTTTTAAAGTTGTTTTCTAGATGGAAATGTTAATACACATGCTATACAAGAGATGCAGGACAAAGTCTTCCCATTTTCCATGGCAACAGAAGATTGATCCAAGATATCTGTTGTGTTTTCTTTATTTTAAAGGAGAAACACGTTTTTGTAAACACACAGAGTGGGTGATCCTGGTCTGCTGCACAATACCCGTGCAGGAAAATCCAGTTCCAGGAGTTCCAACAATAATTTCATAGCTCTGACTATATCTTTCAAAAATGTCTGGAGGCTTAGGATAGGAGATAAAAGTCTCTAGAAGTGGGTCAGTATCCTGGATGGGTATGCCTGATGTTACTTATCAGGGGCTACTACTGAGTATATAAGGAAGTCTAATAAAACTAGTGATAATTGGCTTCTCTGTATATATGTTAGATACAAAAATAATAGTTAAAATTGTCAGATAGATTTGACTTCCTCTGTAGAGCTTGTTTGAAGAGGTTTATTTTCATAGTTTTTCTATGTAATTGACAGTTCCTAATGATGTTCCTTGCCTTCCACATCTTCAGTCTTTCCCTTCTCATATCTGGAATTACTAACGAAACACCTCAGAGGTGATTTTCACTGAAAAAAAAAGATTGTTCTGTGATTCAGTGTCACTCTAATGGTATAAAATGATTATAAATTAGCTTTGAAGTCATAGCAGTATTAGTAGTCATGTAGCAAAAAATCTTTATAATATTCTTTAATATTTCATTACCAAATACATTAAAGTGATGCCAGTTTAAAATGAAGAAAAATGCAAGAAGGTCACACCTATCACTATCAGTCTTTGCTGGAAGGAATTCAAGTTCTGACATAAACCCATTTGGCGTTTAAGTACATAACTGTTTTTTGTCTGGAATAGGAGTGCTCTGGTCCACAAAAATTTGGAATCTGTACATTTTCATGAAGCTGTTGAAAGTAATGGTCACCACATAACTGTGTCTGCTGAGAAAAATGCAAATGTCTTTGTTTTCATAAGTAGCCAGGATTGGAAATCTCTTTCATTGTTCCATTTTTTGTTTTTATTCAGCCTGTGAGATTTCAGGAATTTGCAAAATCTGAACTCCAGCCGCACTCTCCCAGCATTATCATTACAGTGTCCACATCTGGATTCCAGGCACTATTCACATGTGCTTATTTTTTCAAGATTATATTTCCTCTCTGTGCAGTGCTCTTCACTGCCTGATTGTAGATTATTTATTAACCATATGGAATAAAGCGATAACTTTGTTTTTCAGTAAAGTTTATTGATATGAAGGACAGACATATTCTACTGTGGCTATCAAAATAAATTTTACAAAATCAACATTTAATTCTCCTTCTGATTAGAGTTTAGGATCAGAACACAGTCCTATTTCATGATGTACAAGCAGTAAAAGTCACAAAGCATCTCCAGACCCTTTTGCACTCCTAAAATAGGAATTACCTAAGTTTTCAACTTCCTATAGTCTTGAATATGGGGGTTGTTCATGCAACTATGAGCATGACTGCACAGTTTCAAGTGTTATCTTGTACTGTAGCTGTAGCCATGAAGACCTTACTGATAAGCAAATCATAAAGGCAGCATTTTTAAGATACTATTTGTTCATAGCAAATAGTATTTTGTTCTTCCAACAAAAAATTTTGGGAAAAGTTCTTTCAAACCGAAATTTTGGAGGAGATCTCTAAATGTATTTTGCTTTATAAGAGTCCTGGTCTGTGTCCTGCAGAAGTATTTCACACCACGCTACTTTTCTTCAGTTTCTTTCTGAACATGTAGGGAAGTCTAATTTTTTGCTTTCTCGATTTATTTGTTTCTGCAAAGAATTTTTAACCCTTGTACATACTTCGAGCAAGAATTAGAGGATGAACTATGTGCATTCTGCTGAAGAGAATGTCTTAAAAGGTGCTATAATTCTTAGATAGAAGCTTTAATATACAAGCATGGGATATTATTGACTATATGTTCTAAATGTTTAATTACAGTATGTAATTATATCATTTTGTGTATTGATTTTTAAGATTTTTTTTTCTGGATTTTTTTAGGGCTTGAGAGCCCTTGGACGCCATGGAAACATAAAGGAACTTTCTATATCAGAATGCAAGAACATCAGTGATACTGGAATTCAGGTAAGAATTCACCTCTCTTCTTGCTGTTTCCTGGAAGCCTCTCTATTTCTTCAAATTAACCCTGTCCAAAACTGACCTTATTTTACTCTGTATGTCATTATTCATTCTTCATTACACTGTTCCACACTCTCACTCTCACATATGATTCTCCCCTTTCATTCCTTTCCATTTTTTTTTCATTCCTTTCATGGATTCTAATGCATCTTGAATTCTGCTTGACTCTGAAATTCACTCCACAAAAGCCTTAATTTCTACTGAATTGCACTGTGCAAATTACAGTCTAAATTTCTAGCTAGCTTTACAAATCCTTCACCAATTTCTATCCAAAACATGCTTTTCCTGTCACTGATGTCGGCTTTCAAGTCTTGCTTTCTGCTTCCTTAGTCAGTCATTTGTTGAATGCCGTATTTAGATGACTTAGCATGCCTAGCTCAATGGAATACTCAAATTTCTTTTAGTCTCTTACATGTGGTGCTGATGTATTGCTACACGTTGTTATCTCTTAGTGTCACAGAAATATGTCTCAATATACCTCTAAAGGCATACTTCTTACCAGCATAAATGGTATGATTACTGTGATTAAAAATAACAAATTATGTTTCAATAAGAAATGCATGTGCATCTTCTCCAGATTGAACGGATGTTTTATTTGTTTTATGGAAAAAATAGCATAAATTGCACTGTGTCATAATTTGAGTAAAAGCTTTAAAATTTTCCTACAAAACCATCAAATGCATTGTTTTTCATATCTAATGATGAAATTAATCTGCTGAAAAATGGACTAAATGTACTTTAAGATAGATTTTTCAAATACTGACTTCTTGTTCTAAATATCTCATCATGCTCACAGCAAGACATCTATTGAATCTTACTAAACTTCATTTTTTCCATAAAAAAAAAATCATATAATCTGCTTTTAAAATTTTAATATTGGATCTGGGCAATATAAAGCTAGATATTGTTCTTAAAATAAAAAGATTAGGTTAAAACATGTATTGCATAGTATTCTGATGTCAAACTTAGCCTATGAAATTTCCCAAGGTAAATAAACTCGATAAAGTAATCAGACAGGAAATTAATTATAAAAAAGGTACAAACTGAAGTTGCCACAAGGGCAGTTATTTACATTGATGATAAGTTATGAAGTTACACAGTGATAAAATCTTTTCTCTTGACTAATCAGCAATTATCATAGCAATATTAATACTAATACAGTATGTGAATTTCATTTTACAATGCTTATGAATTTGTTTATATTTCTGATTTACTGACTCTTGCTTTTTTAATGAAAGTCAACCAGGAGACTTACCATACAAATATTTATTAGACTTACGTTATCATCACAGCAGTAACTAGATACTAATTTATGATTTAATAGTACTTATTGTCTTGTTTTTGTAAAATCACTTAGTGTTACTGTAATTCTTTTTATGGGTAAAGCATTGCACTGGAAGTTGGAAAAGATTCAGAGAGGGTAATAGGGATGATCAGAGGTATGGTACAATCTCCATAAAAGGAACAGATAAGTAAGCAAGGAACCTGCGGTCTGGAAAGGATGGCTGAGGGAATACGACTAAGATCTGTTCAATTGCAAGTGGCATGAAAAGGGTGGATAGGGGTCAGGTTTTTCCATACATAAGCTAGTGAGCACGAAATGAACCTAGTTTGAAAATTCAGAATGAAGAAAAGGAGATGACTGTTTCAAAAATGTATAGTTAAACTGTGAAATTCCTCACCACAGGTTGCTTGAAGTTTACCTAAGTCCTTATGAAGACTTGATAAAATTGATATAATTACACAGATTTACTGCTTTGTGTTTCAGAACAATGTAAGAAATAAACACTAGTTGGTAACTTTACAGTAGAAAAAAGAACCATCCCTCTTGTTAGGAAGGAAAAAAGTTTTACATCCAAATACTTTTTTCTGTAACTGAAAATTGTCCCTTACCATATGTAACAGAAATGCTTGAATCATGTTTTTTAGTGATATAAATGTCATGCCCATAAATGCTCGCAGATCATAAAGCCACAGGTACAGACAGTGTCATCATGTAAATTGCAGTCATCTTCGCTGTTTCCATTATAAAGCCCCAACATTGATAATTTTATAACCATATATTGTAAGAATGAGTCAGTTGTTGCTGCACCACAAGGGATGCATCTGGATTGAATCTTGTTACCCAGCATCCACATCAGGCCATTAGGAATAATTCTGACTTGCCTTTCATGAATGTTCTGTGTAAAGTCCCATGTTTTTAACCAAAACAGTGTCCAAGTATGTACATCTTGTGTACCTCATGGAAAGTCATGTAGTGCAGTGCTGCTGCTTTCAAAGAAGAATATTCACTTCTACATTGTGCTGTGCTTATGGCTATGAAGCTGTTCCAGTTGTCTCACTACATAGAGTAACTTCAAAAGAAAGACTGTGAGAAAAGAAGTGTTTATGCTTTCCTTGTCTGCCATGTGAATTTGAACTTTTGCGGAAGAAAGCCTCAGCAGGGAGTATGTGTAGGAGTTATGGAAGCGATGTTGTTGTGAATCTAGGGAGGGCAGGAGGAAGAAGAAAGTGTGTGAAGTAACTCAGAACAAAATGGCAAGCCCTTTTTTGTTAAGTCAAATCTAAAGAAGATATATCTTTATGGAATATTTTTAGAAAGGAACACTGCATGCATAATGCAACAGCACGCTGCATTACTTGGTTATCCTTTGATTATATAAAGAATAATTAAATCATATGAAAAGAAAATGTATATTAATAGGACTTTACTAACACTGTTAAGGTAAATTGCTGGAAAGTTGTAAAATAACTAAATAATATAACCAAAAATAGTACAAACAGAACTGATGTTGGCTGTACAGTGTTAATTCTTTTACTTGTTTCCAGGCATTGTAACAGTATGTAATACTGATGTGATCACATATTTTGTAGATAGGATATCTGCTCATTCATAACTCAGATGATGCTTACTTAATGAGCAGCAATATAGTATTTTATATTTTCATTGATGCCTGTGTGTGTCTTCATGTCTTATTTACACAGGATTAAAACTGGAAATAAGTTTGAAGAGTATGTTATTTCCTTCAGATGGTATCCAATTCTTTTTAGTGTCTAAATGTTTTGCAAACATTATTTATCTTCACAAGCTCTTCTATTATTTTCTTTATAGGCATCGAACCAGGGATACAGAGATGAAGAGAGCAAACAAAGCTCCGTTCCCTTCGATTGCAAATGTGACTTTAGTGCTATTTGCAAAAGAATGTAGTGGTAGACTTAAACTTAAGAGCAAATTCAGAACCTAACTTTGACGGATATTTAAAATATGTATGTAGGCAAACTATGCCAGTAAAAACAAGATAAACATATCTCACAGGCATTGAAATTTTGCCTTCAGGTTGTGCTACATACCCTAGCTGAGAATGCAGTGATTAAGTCATCACATCTGAGCCCTGATTCAGAACGGAGTGCAGTTTCTATCCCACATGGATAAAAACCATTCAGTTACTGGGTTTAGAATGTTTCTTCATTGCAGGTAACAAAGTGCTGTAGAGCGAAGATTGTAATAGGAAAGGTACAGAAGCCAATTATTATAAATTCTGAATTGTCCACTCTAACCAGTTCTAAGTTAAAACACTCACATTCTAATACTTTTGCAAAACAAAACAAAAACTCAAATAATCTGTTTTACAGGGCGCATGAAAAAGCTCATACCTGAGTTACAAAGGTGCTGGAATTGAAGTCAGTAGGGTCTTCAGGTGCTTATTTGCTCTAAAAATGAGGATAGAAATCATAGTCAACAGGTACCACAGCAGGAAACAGGAATTACGTGGCACTTCAGCCGCAGTTAGCTGGCCTGAGCTCCACAGAGCAGATCAGAACTCAGAACTACAGTCCTGAGATGGTTACCTGTTCCTTTCCAAGAAAATAATGTCATTTATACAGATAGACTTTGTTCATTTTTGGAGGGGGGAAAAAAAAAAGAGAGAGAAAAGAATATATAAAAAAAATAGGCATGTGCAGAGAGTAGAAGAGTAAATGTACTTGGGGCTGGCCCTTTAAGCACAAATGTTTGGGTTCTGAGTTCTGCTCAATTTAAAGAATCCAGATTCGACGTATTTTAATAATACAATGAAACTTATATGAATGTTAGTCTAAAGAACATATAGTATAATATATAAGCAATGGAAAAAAATCTCTTAATGCAACCCTTCTTTTCTAGTGACATTCACAGCCAATTGCTGAATGACTTCACTACTAATAAAGGGCACTGAGAAGACTGAAGTGCCTGCAGTGGATCAAAGGGTTGATGTAAATGTGTTGTAAATTGAGAAAAAATAGATTAGGATGACTGGTTTGTTTGTCGCTCTTTCAGGAGTTCTGCAAGGGCACAAAATACCTGGAACGCTGCTGCCTCTCTTGCTGCCCTCAGCTGACGGATGAAACTGTGAAAGCATTGGCATTTCACTGCCACAGATTAACATCTGTCAACATAGCGGGTTGTCCAACTGTACGTATAAGAAATGGGCAATCGTTCTGGGATTGCTGTGCCAAAGAAGTACATAGTATTTCGTTCAGAAATCTGACCTGCTGGCACCTGTGTCCTGTCACAATTCTGCAACACGCTCAACTAATTTAGAAATCAGAGCTTAAATTTCCGTGAGTTTTAAGTACTGAGACCTGGCTCTTGAGAGTGTTTGCCGTTCTTCTGATGGTTGCAGTTACAACATAAAGGTGTCTGTGCTGTATCAGGTGGAAGTTTCTCTCTCCAGGGGTTGATGTCTAGGGAAGGGTGAGGAGAGAAGGGCTTTTAGTGATACTTCCTGCAAATACTCTCCCAGCTTCTGGTGCGTAGCTGCTTCCAAAGGGCAGTGTCTTTGTTTTAATAACTCTTGGTATTTTCATGCTTTATTTTTTTCCAGTGCTTTTTCTGAACCCAAGTGAAGCATAAACTGGGGCATGGTACCTTTACGTGGCAGGGCAGTGGCTATGTTGAAAATAGTAGTAGTTCCTAAAAGTGCCAGAGATACAAACTCATGTTTAATTATTTTGAACATTCTAAGCCCAGGAAACAAAGTCCTTTGGAAAATAAAATTTCTGAGGTATTTGAATATATACAGTGGAAGGGAGTCTTCCTTAGGCTGCTTTTTATAGTCAGTGGAGAGAAGTGCTCCTATGAAGCTTCAGCCAGGGAACCTATACTCAGTTCTCCTATCCTCTGTCTCTCTTCTGACTGCTAGAAGGAAATTAGGAAAACTAGTCATCCAAGGGCTAGATGAATATTCCCTTAATATCAGAGTTACTGTGATGGATTTGCTGGTGCTTCCCACTGTCTCAGTGTGCTTTGGTGAGTCCAGTGTAGTATATTGTGTTTTAGCAAGTATTTATTACCAATAAAACTATGTGCAGTTGCAGCCATATTCAATTAACTAACATCTCTTTAGGAAAGCTGCTCAACTAACTTTCATTCAGGATGTCTAGATATCTGAAAAGATACAATTATTTCCTGCTATTTATTTATTTAGATTAAGATTAATCCATTACGAAACTTAGTTCCTCTTTGAAATGAAGTCACACTGCAGCAGCATTCTTACTTCCTAGATTTTCTGCATAATTTCTTTTTGATCAAAGTCTTGCATCTCAATTATCTTTTTTCTGTATCAGGATGTGTGTTCCTTTTTGAAATTATTGCTGCTATGAAGGCCTAAATCTTCTTCCCTGTGCTTTCTGACTTAAGATGTCTATCTTTTATGCATTCAGTTATTTCCGTGCTTTTAATTATTTCATTTAATATCAAAACCAAATATTTGCTGTGTTTTGGCAATAAACATTCAAATGCAATGTCTACAATGCTGATTTCTTTTTTTTTTTAATTTCGTGGAAAAAGTTTTTGTAGTGTTGTTTCCATCACTATCAAGTGGGAATACACCAAGTATATTACTACTTTTGGAAAGGTTTGGCATGAACTATCCTTTAAAATTTCATTGGACTCATTGGGCCATTTTCCCCCTCCTCCTCTACTGAAGTGCCCATGTCCTATTGTCTTCAAGTTAAATAATTAATATTGTCTTCAAGTTAAGTCTGCAGCCATTGGTTGTCCCTGCCTTTCTCCTCTCCAACACCCATCTCCATAACCCTTGACTGTCCTTTCAGTCCTCCACACAGTCCTCATGTCCTCTTATTCACTGCAGTGGCTGAACACCTTAGCCTGCTGGCCAACTAGTTTGAGCTGACCTGGCTGAATAATTAACCAGCTCTAAATTATTCTTATTCTTATTGGTTCATTAGCCTTCCAAAAGTTTAGCAGCTTCTCAGCCTCTAGGCCAAAGCCCATGGGCTATCTCTCAGGTCTGTCAGGTCAAGGAAGTTGTTCTGTGTCTCAGTGTCTGTCTCAATAGCCCTTGATTTATACCTTATGGAAACCTACTGAACACCGTTAATTATTACATACATGGGTCTCAATTCCCTGTAGCCTTTGCTTTTAGATAGATTTTTAAGCTATTTTCCATAATAACAGTAACAATAAAAGTTGTGCATGGAGATCTTCCCAAAGTAGTTTTGGGAAAGTTAGGTAGCTTTGCAAGCAGTCTTTGCCATACTTTCCACTGTACCTTATAGACTAACACAGGAAAAAAAAACCCAAAGCAACCCAAAAAAATCCTGTTAAATGGCAGTAGATAAATTTGGACTGGTAAATGGGTGAGTTTCTGATTATCGGAGAGTGAATTGTAAATTGTATCCTAGGAAGGGATATGGAGGCAAAGTATTAAGGAACATTAGGATGGCTCTTGATAAGGGAACAAACTGGGTTATATTTTGTAGTTCCTGCAAATAGGAACAAGAAGTAGACTCAGTGACCTAGTAATCTCCTTCCAACTCTTTGTTCCTAGATGGTATCTTTTCTTTAAACAGTTACAAAGCCAATCTGTTAACAGTTAATACCCTACTATTTTCAGAAAAGAACATCACGACTATTTCAAATAAACCTACACATAAGTTTACAAGTCTTTTGGTTGTTTTTTTTTTAACTTGAATCCAGCTTGCAACTCCATAAAATGAGATGGGTACACCTGTGGATGTTAAAACGAATGGGTCTTTCAAATCCTTTGGCAGTCTGTAGTGTAAATTGAGGGGATCCAGTTGCTAAGTAAGAAAATATTTTCCACTCAGAGACTTTTTAAAAGTGGTCAGGAGATTAAAGTAAGAATGAACCTGTTCCAAAGGATATATGTTAATATGTCTGACAGTCCTGCCCTGCAACATCAGCTATATAATATATATATATAAAC